TGTTGTGAATCAAAAATTGTAGTTTCTGTTTTTTTTATTCAAATCACCATTGTATTACATGCATAATATGAATATACGTACGATGCATGCATATATCAAATAATATGTTTTTTTTTATTTTTGTCTGTCTGCTTGTCTGTCTGTCTGTGTGTATCAGTTAATCTCGAAATTGGCTGGACCGATTTTGACGGGAGTTTTATTGGCAGGTAGCTGGACTAAGAAGTAACTTAGGCATACTAAAGTTATGTCCTAAAACTCATATTATATTACTCATAATGTTCATTTTGTTCCAAATGCTACAAATCACCAGTCGGACGGTGCTGAAATTATTTTACTAATTACGTAAAAGAGGCCCTAAGCTCTAAATAATAACGGCAATGTGAACAATTTACACTTGTTTCGTTCTCAAACAAAATATAATTATTTTTTATTCATTCATAACGTTTTTCTAAGCAATATATTTTTCAGTTTTGACATTATTGCCCTCCTTACAAAATGTTTGCTAAAACTTTGCCTTTTCAAAATGTTTTGCTTTTAATTTCCTTAGGTGAAACTTAATGTTTATATTTGGATAAATAATGCCTGTTATTTCAAGAGCATCTTTGTATTGTATTTTAGACTACTTTATTTATTTCGATAAAGATGGTATTTACTCAGCCAAACCCATTAAGTTATTGTACAGTTCAGCCAACTCTGTGTGAGAAGAGGCTTTGCTCAGCAGTGGGCATTTATAGGCATTTATAATGATGAGAGTTCAGCCAAAGTGTTGATAAACTTTTCCCGTTGCTACATTTGAATTCAACAAGAATTTAGAACATTGACTATTACAGCATAATAACAATAATCCTATTTAATGTAAAGTCAAATAAAAGACACATAAATATAGTTTGTTGTATTCTCAGACACGAATACACCTTATACTTTAAAAACATATCAGTTTACTAAACTCAATGTTCAAGTTCTACCAATCTGAATCGAGAACAAACAAAACTTTTCGCTCAACAATATCATCAGTGAGATAAAAACAAAGTGTAACCATTGCCGACATTGGAAAACATCCTGTATAATCCACTTTCGCAATCCGTTCTGTATAACCAGACGAGCTTAAGTAATATATCTTCTGTGTTCGGCTTGATTAATAGGGTACATGAGTAATTTTTATTTTAATTTCAGTCTGGTAGATTATTTAAAAACGTTAGACACGACATGCGATATTTTCTTCTTAACACGAATCGGAAACAAATACTTTTGACAATATATGGATTTGGAATATCGAGTGACGTCAATTTTGTGTACCTTTTATACTGAAAAATGACGTAGCTAGCTGCCACTCGTGAACTTTGATGTTTTATCTAAGTGTTGTTTTCTTATAAAATAAAATAGGTATGTACGTGTCTAATATTTTTTCATTGCCTAACTGATGGATAAAATAGGTTTTTAATTTTCGTACCCTGTCATCATCCCTATTGTCGAATGTTCATGCATCAGGTTGTGTGACGGTATATCTACTTGCATGTATTGCATTTGTTTTGAGTAATATTTTGAATGAGTAAAAAATTTGTTAGTCTTTTTGATATTCTCAGTAAAGACGAAGTTTTGTATTCAATCGACTGTTTACCTTTACGAATTGTCTTCGTACTAACATTATAAACGTGATAGTGTGTTTGTTTTTTTGCTTGTGTGTTATAGAGGGGGAAAATCATCCAATGATTTCTCCCGCCTTGGGTTAAGGCGGGAGAAGCTCTTACTGACTAAAAACCATCCCGTTCCTAGTTCTGCTCAATTTTTGTGCCTTGAGATAGAATTAAGTTCCTTTGACTTCACAAACAAAGCAGTGAGTAGCAACATAAATGTTATAGTTTATGTGAAAGATAGCTCCTCTTTATAAAGAAAATTGCAGGACGTGATGAGTTATTTGATCACGAATATATTTTTACAACAACAATAAACATTACACACATTTCATCACATCACATGGATTCACAGAGCGATGCGCACCAACCCTAGCACGAAACGATTTGTCAAAAACGAAATAAACACGTGCTATTAAGTGCCTTGCGCAACATGGGAACGTGTCCACAATTTCTAAAAGCTTTCCTTTTATTTGCGAACAGTATCATTAGCAACAATATATGAGAGCGAGAGGCAAATATATCGTCAAGAGCGTCTTTATTGCTTCCTGTGATAAATGAAGATAAGCACCAGGGTGAGACTATATTAGACAGCGATTCGAGATTCACTTTAGATGTATTACCTTCTTGTATTACCGTTGCGGCATTGTGATTTGTATTAATTTGTATTGTATGCACTTTTCTTTAGATGCTCTTGATTTGGAGATTATTATTGAAACTTCTATAGGTACCTCAGCGAAGCGCTGCCTCCTCGCAACCCAGCCATCGCGAAGGACACATTGGGCGTCGGGGATCGCGGGACGATCTCCGGCCACCGTAAACGCGGGCCTGCGGACGGCGAACATGGGTGGCTCCCCGTCCGACCAGAAACAGACCCGAGCGTACGGCTCGTCGCGTTCCGCGCGCGCCTCAAAGAGCCATCAGACCACCACAGATGGGGTCCAATAGGGTCGATGCCGATTCGGAGTCGCGGAGAACCTAACAGATAACCAGGGCTCCGGCTCGACGTGCAGGAGAAGGAACGGGGTGGTTTTTAGTCAGTAAGAGTCTGACACTCCCTCGCGCCTCACCCAGGCGGGAGCAGACATTCGATGACTTTCCCCGCTTAAAAAAAAAACTACTTTTTTAAGTCTTGCTGAACCGACGCACCGTACATGACTTACCACTAACAAGATTGTTATTGTACTGAAATTAAAAAACTTATACCAGTTTTACAAGTCCAGTTTTGGAATACTATTTAGCGCAAAAATAGCCTTTATTTTAATTACAAAAACATCGTAAATCGCCTTGAGTCTTCGCGTGAGTTAAGCTTGTGACTTGAATAAGAGAGGCTGATGGTGTGACGTAATATATCCTTGCGTGTGGAAGCTCTTACACTGATTTGAGAGTTAATCGACTGTTTCTCACCCCATTGTATTGTATTAGGTACAAACGTGAAAGGGTACTATTGTATAATTTAAAGATAATCACCGAATGTTAAAGTTTCTATTAGTCTGGGTTTGTTGGTACATTAATTGATGTGGCCGATTAACCTACTTCTTTAGATGTTTGTTAAGTCAGCAAATTAGACGATCGAAGAGAACATCTCTGTTCTAGTTCTAGAACTTTCAAAGGACACATCTTTGTTTGAAATGGCTCTAACAATAATTGATACAAATATCTATTGAACACTTTCACTATCAAGTGTCCCCATGTCACCTATGATAAATCAAATCTTTTTTTCATTACTTTCCGAATATGGGTACAAAGAGTTTTTACATAACTAATGAACTATTTATTATCCATATCCTACCATAAGACATGCAAAGTTGACACAAAACACAGAAAATCAACTTATTAAAAGTAATTATTAACATGATGGTTATAACAAAATTACATTAACTTATCCTATAAATACTAGTGAATCGATGTAGATGTACTAGTGTCCTGTGTTAGTCCGGCACGGGTCAAGCACGGTTTCGGCACGGCGTTTTATGCTTTGGAAACAATACAAAAAGGTTGTGAGCGTTTTTATATTCCCGTTATGAAATATATCATACAATATATGATTTAACTCGTCGAGTACCGTCATTATAGACACAATTATAGAACAATAGGTTTCGGTCACCGGTGACCGCTTGGTGTTTAAAGTTCATATTAAAATGACAATGACATTGCTGGGTTGGTGCCGTGCTGGAGCCGCTTGTGCAATATGTAACTATGTTGATAGTTCTAATTGCATATTCTTGCTTTATCTTTTAGGAAATAAAAGGCCTAGAAATCTGTTAAACGTTAAGTTACCCATGGCCACAGTATACCCATAAAACAAAAGAGTAGTCCTAGATCAAACATCGAACCTACTTTTCTGAACAAAGACACTGAACAATAGCTCACACTATCCCATGTTAAGTGGGTGATTTATATATTTGTTTGTTCACTTGCGAACAAAATGTGTATGTAGTTCACGTTTCTAACTTTACATATATACTTTAGAGGAGCATGCCAAGTATAAAAGCTAAACACTATATTTATGATGGATATAATGCATATTTCTCGACCTTATGACTTGAGTAAAAAGGTAGATAATGTCAAGTTGGAAGTAGTTTTTAGAAACAGTTTGAGCACTATATTTATATCCGTAATCCGATATTGGGTATTTACTTAACTAATGTTTCCATGGAACTTCAGTCTTATTAATGTTATAAATTCAAATAAATAAAAAGTAAAATATTTCCATCTTAAAAAAAACATAAAAAAATATTTAAGATATAAAAAACTTTTTCTTGAGGTAGGGTGCCCAAAAGACTGGCAGCATTGCCACGTTGAATGGCAATGCTTAACCTTAAATTACTTTAATATTGGTATTTACTTTGATATTAATTCCATTGTTATGTAAAAAAAAGTTGTGTCAGTAACGCTATTTATAACTAACTCGAGGGCTAAATCAATTTGGCTGAAAATTGTTAGGAGATAACTTAAAACCAGAAGACAACACAGGATACTCGTATTTTAGAATTTTAACGAACGAAAATCCTACGGGTACGGGAAAAACGGGATTGCGCGTACGAAGTCGCGGACAAAAGCTAGTTGCAATATAAATACTTAACAAAGTTCCTTTAACAACATATTATATATACCTCTATATATATTTTATGGCATAAGCCGATAAACGAAGAGACCTGATGGTAAGCACCCAGCACTGCCCATGGATACCCAATACTCCTGACCTGACTGGGATTAGAAATTTGAGCATTGTTGGGGATTGGGAAAGGGGGGGGGGGGGGCGTAATTGGGCCTCCGGTAATCGGTAAAAAACATTAAGTGCGCAGTTCGTTTTTGTTTTCTTTTTACAGTGAATTAAATAGTAATATACATTTTCTTTCTTTACAGACTAACTGAACATTGCTTTGAAATCAGATGCAGTATGACATTAAGGTAAGCATGCATAATACATATTTTTCATTAACTTAACATTTCAAGAAACTTTCTTTAACAATGAGTTCTTGTAACTTAAAATTAAAAAATCTATATTATTTATATATAAAAATGAAACCCGTTTCCCGTTGTCACGCCATAACTTCAGAACGGCTGAACCGATTTGGCTGATCTTTTTTAAATAAATCCTAAAAATCCAACGGGAACGGGAGAAAACGGGATTGCGCATACGAAGTCGCGGGCAGAAGCTAGTATGAATATAATTCTAAAAACCATTTTTCGAAACAATACATTTTTTCAAAGTCAAAGTATTTATTTAATTATTAATTAATCCTTATTAATTAGGTACTTATTAAACGTCAAAATTTAATGTCTGGCCGTTAGTCGGCCAGGGAAGCTAGGCACTCGTTACAAAGTTTAGTTTCGAATGGAGAAGAACAAGCAGGAAACTCCATCGTTTACTGTTTAAAAAAGTGTTTTTACAATCTCATTAATACATTATTCGATCCTTTACATATTGTATATATATATAATAGGATGATGTAACGACAATACGACGTCAAAAATTAAGGGGACTACGGAAACCACGACTGAAATAAAAAAGCTATGAATGATTGTTTCAAATATGGCGCCCAGATATGTATGTACACTTACAATTTGAAATTTAATAATGCTTCTATACAAATAAAAATATTTGTTTAACTCCAACTTTTAAATACATTTAGATTGCTACAGTAATTAAACAAGCTATGTTCATCCAAATAAAAATAGACACAGAGAGTATCCAAAAATTTATTCGCATTGCAGATTGTTAGGGTAGCCAAAAGACTGGATTGAGTGAACACTGACTAGGAATTGGCTTACAATTGTTTTATTTTTGTTTACTTTTGTAGCTATACTTTTATCAGACAATTTGTCTGTTACAGTGAGTAAAGGAAAATACTATACCTAACAAAGGAATATAAAAAAATGTTTGTGTTATATTTCGCTATTTTCACTTTAACTTTTCATGAAATAGTTTACGTATATAAAAATAATGATAATAAAAAATTACCTATATAAAAATTGAAGAGTTGCAATAAAATTAATGAACATTCTTTGTCTGTCCGCTTTGCTTTGAATATGGAATTGCACAGTTGAATAATGTTATTATTAAACAAAATTAATGTCTTATTTTTTCTAAAATCATGCTTACAGAATCATTTTATTTTAGACTTTTTTTATTTTTCACTGTTTACCAACAGCTTGATTTCTATATACGAATTTAAGATGTTGCAATGGTATTCCACAGTTTCTGCGACCTATTGTGCGATAATAAATTATCGCTTTCGGTGGAAAGCTGTGATTTCATTGGTGATGTCATAGCGTTGGTTAGTGGTCAAACGCTAAAATGCGATTTTTTTCGAAATTAGACAAATATCACTTATCGCAACTCACATAAAGCACATATCTATATTTTTGGTATGTAAATGTCACAATCCAGTCACATCAAATGCGCAAGGATTGCGTCAGCGCGATTCAACCACACAAATCGTACTGAATGTATGCATGCCAAAAATATTTGTTCACGTCCACACGAAGGATAGTCAATACTGTGCTGTGTAAATGGATCGTTTAATCTCTTGAATTATTAGTTCGTTATACATATATCAACGCTTTTCATCAATTTTACTTGAATACCTGTTGATGTGTTATGAAAATTGATGAGAATAAGGCTAAGGACTCACGGCGCAATTTTCTCAACTTTCAATTTTTTTTTCAAAACTTACAAGAACGGAGTTTTGGGCCAATATGCAGCCGCCGCGGTTGCGATTATAGCCCGCAAACTTGGCAGTTGACAATCGCAAGACGAGCGGGTGGTTAAACAATTAGTTGAGTTCCAGAGCCGCCGTCCCATTGCGATCGCCTGGCAACCGTTCGCAGAGCGCGCGGGTGGAACCCGCTGCGGCTACGGGACCGCGGGCGCGCCTGCCGGTGCAGCGGGAACCGCGTTCAATCGCAACCGCCGCGGGCGTAAAACGCGTCGTGATAATTACTTTGATTTTTTAACTGTATTCTACAAAGGTTCCGGGCCCGCATAAAATACCGGGCGCGTATAAAAGACATTTTATACTGCAAGGTTTTAGATAATATGATAATTATGTCCTTCATTCAGATTAGGTAATGTAGTGAAATTCTCAGAATGTAATAGTATTAAATATTTGCCAATAATTCGTCTTTTCATCAACAAAATTCATAACATTCCAATATTACTTGAGACGGTTTATCATAGTCTCCCCGCCTGGCAGTCAGTATAGAGATCACAGTTTAAAATGTATTTCCTGGTCTTTGTCAAATGCTACTTCACATATACGAGGTTATCTTACTAGGTATATCTATTACACGAGCCTAATAACGTAACTTGCGAAACGTGTCGTACATTTCTGACTAACCGCCTTTGTCGTTTTCTGGGAATGTTCATATTACCTAATATTTTTCCTGGAAAATAAAATTTATTATTTACAGCCCGATTTGCTCTACATAAATAAGTTCGTTTATATCATCCTCGAATAAAACGGTCTCAAAATTTATATTTGTAGGTAAAATCATGAATGGCTTTTTGACGCGATGAAAATGTTGATCATCCCAAAAAGATATTGGCGATTAGAATATTTAACTTTCACTCAGTGATGCCCTTGGGCTAAACTTCTAATAACAAAATTCATTTCAGGAAATGAGCAAAATCGTGATCCTATTGAACCAAGATCTCGGATGATATTGTATTATAATTTATTCAACTTTTTTCATTTAAATTTCTTTTCCATTCGATGGTAATATTAGAAGTGGTTGAAATTGGCTTTCTTATTGGTGAGATTTTCACGGATAAGGTTGCAATATAGGGTGATAATATAATATATCTATCAAAGTTAACTAGCTTCTTTCCAGGCGAGACAAGATAGAGAAGTTGCTAGACTCACCGAAAACGCATGGAAAGACCTATTGGTCCATGAAAGACCAAAAGAAAGATAATCTTCCATTAGCGCTTAAAAAGAAACTCATGGACGTGTGATTCTGCCCATCCTTACCTATAGCACTCAAACTTGGTCTTTGAAAAAACACTAGAAGTCCAAACTCAGGGTTTACCAGCGGGCCATGGAGCGCAGTATCTTAGAAGTTCAACTATCGGACAGAATTAGGAACACCACGCTGCGCTCCACGACTAAAATCGTTGACGTTGGCCATAAAGCCGCATGCCAGACGAGCAGTAGGCAAAACAGTATGCAGTAGGACAATCATGGCTAAAAAAATATAATACTATATTATGAGTATTTGAACTAAAAGCTTTAATTTTTCTGCAACACTTGATTTGTTTAATTCAACGTTTGATTGCAAAGAAGTGAATGCTTTTAATTCAAAACGCTCACTTTATCACTAAACTGAAATGTAACCTTCTTATTCCTTATTGATACAACGACAAGGCAGCATTTAAAAATATTACTTTAAACTAAATTGACGCGATTGATGTTACACACAAACTCTTTCACTTTCACAAAGTTTTTTACTATTTTCGTTGGCAACGATTTGTATAAAAAGGGTACATAGAGGCAAAGCGACTGCGGCGCTTAATTTAACTAATTGAAAACCTACCGCCTGACGGGTTAAAAACTTTAACTGAAAAAACGTACCGTTTTGGCTGCCCAGCCACCGTTGTACGCAGTCCTACGCTAATTAAGTGTCACTCCAGATTTTAGATGTTAGAGAAATTTATTAATGTTTCCTGCGACTACCTTGTTAGTGCCTCGTTACTACTTCAACCGCAACCGCAATTGCGAAGGATAAAGTCCCGTTTTCGATGTCCGGGTCTAGTAATTTGATATTGTTCATTAAATTCTATATAGAAATTCTCAGGTAGTCTGGAGCTTAGTGATTCGATATTACTGGTAGGTGTGTATAAGTAAACTGGTAAAAGTACAATAACCACTATTTTTCGTTAATAAGGTACAATATGAAAATACAACGAAACTTAAAAAAATAAAAAACAACGAAAAATAATGGTTGTCAAATTATCTCAAAAACTATTAAACTGTCAAACACCAAGCGGTCACCGGTGACCGCAACCTATTGTTCTACAATTGTGTCTACAAAACCGGTACTCGACGAGTTAATTGAAATTTTATTATTATCCATTACATTTTTTATTGTGCACACGAATATTCTGTGTTATTATTACAGCTATTAGGTACAACATGTTAATTTTTGGTATGCAAACTAAAGACAGGTGGTTATTTGAAAAGGAATAATTTAATAAGAAAAATTCAATTTTTTATTTTGTTATTTTTATTGTTTCGGTGGTCGAGTAAGAGGAAATTGAGGAAACCCATGTCCGTATTTGATGGTATTCACAATGTATGGGAATAGTAATAGGTGTCATTCTGTACCTTCTATTGTTTTCCATCATAGCTATGGCACAGAAACGTGAGTGTAAAATAATTTACTCGTTAAAAAAAAAGTACGTATTGTACCATTTTTCGATGTTACAATATATTAAAAAGGCGGTAAAATAAGGTAAACGAGAGTGCAATAAAAATGTTATAAAACCGCGAACTATGTAGGTTTCACGGAAATTTGTAGCACTTGTATGGAACTACATAACAGCAGTTTTGTGCATATTAATCTGAAGTTTTCAAAGTTCTTTGGTTGAACAACTACACGTGTAGAAGTTAATGAAATTTTAGTACATAATGGTTCATTTTGGCGTTTTCACGAAGTTTCATCGCATGTGAACTAGTAACTACGGTTGTGAATTACGATTTTGTAGTCTTGAATCGAGAATTAACAGTAAATATTGAAATAATTTTTACGTTTGTAGAAGTGCGATTACATTTTTGCTGTGAATACGTAAACAAACTTTTTCTATGTATTTTCTTTTTCGTTATGTATTTTCAAAAGTGCTTTTCAATTAAACTACGTACTTTTGAAAAATTCTGGAGAATTATACATACGTATTATAATACTTTTAA